CTGTGTATTCTATACCCTCTATGTCAGTGCTCATGGGCTGTTAAGAAAATCATGGGTAGCAGCTGCCCAGAACAGACCTCACACCCCAGGCTATAACAGATAAGGAAAGAGGTCAGGGAGATGTTAACACCTTCCCACCCAGCAGGAGGAGTCCTCCCTGTTAATGGGCCCATCCATGCCTCGCCCCATGGCTCATACAGAGCTCCCCTCAGGAGCTATTTCTGTTTAATGGACCATCAAGGACCCACTGCATGACTCATAGACTGATATCAACCCGTTGTGAGATGCTCCACCCAGGGGGAGGAGCCAAGTGCTCCCACCTGGATATAAACTGGGGTTCAGGACAGCACAGGAGGCCTTACCCACTGGATTTCCAGAGGACAAGAGCTATCAGATCTTTTCTACAAGACCACTGCTTCATCTGGACTGCTACCACCACCCTAACTACAGAGTATCAGGTTGTATTCTGACTCTGTCTGTGGTTTTCTTTTGTATTATTGCATTTATTTTATTTTCTTCCTATTAAATTGTATTTCTGACTTGGAGCCTCTCACTGGTTTGTTTTCAAATCATTACAATCAGTTCACTTTTAAAAGTCAAACAAAATTTTAATATGTAAGAGTGCTTTTGAAATATCAGATGTTTTAAAACTGGTTTTCCAGATTCACCCACTTACTAAAAATAGAGTATAATAATTCACACAATACCTGAAATTTGAAGAACTTTCTGAAGTACATCTTCTCTCCTGTCTGTGTAGTATAACTTACTGCACAAACTAATCTGAAAGAAACAATTTTTTTAAAAAATAATTTTGAATTAAATTTTCTTCCTATATCAAAGTAGCAACAGAAGAGCATGCACATGCTGCAGTTTCACTTAAACTTATTTAATCATAGAAATGTTTCAAATCTTACATATGTGTTCCTATCTCCTTTACTTCATGATGGATCACATCATCAATGCAACAGTCAGGCTTAAGTTCTGCCACTGCAGCACTAGAAGCTGAAAGGTTCAAGCGCTGAGAACTTGTCTGAAGATCAGCCTGGGGAGAGAAAAAGCATTGTTTAGAACTGCAGCTGCCTAAAGCAGTCTGAAGTAAAATAACTTTTGTTACTTGGTGAAACCTAGAACTCTGTATTCTGCATCTTACATACTTTTACACAAAAAACTAAGATATGTTGGGATGATGAGGCACTTGTCCAAGCTAAAGAGAAGTTTTAAAATATATAAAAACACTCAAACCCTTTAACATGCAGCTTATAAAATCTCCATTCACGTTTTACACTGAATTCCACAATGAATTCTGGAATTTCTATTCTCAGTGTATTATTTGTTCAGCAGAAAATGTAAAAAAAAAAAAGGCACTAGAAAAGATCTCTCTCAAAATAGAAGCAAAATATGAGTTAATGCGTGCTTTACAGGAACTTGTTTTCATGATTTCATTGAAAGTGCAAGTAAGTGAATATAAAGTCAATTTTTTTAGCTGTGGAAGTTTGCTACATCGATTTTCCAGACAAACTTTATTACACAACAATTTTTGGGATACAACCTTAATTTTTTACTTTAATCTTTACATATTTCTGTCATCATTTCTATTTTTATGTTTTATTGTTTCCAGGCACATTTTCTGTATTTGAAAAAGTGACAGGTATTTCCTGAGGCTTATGTATTACCATTAAACTCACAGGATACTGTCAGAAAACATACTGGATTTTTAAAAAAAAAAAAAAAAAAAAGAAATAGAGTGAGTCCATTTATCTTCACATACCTTCACCAGTATATCCTTGACAACTTGGTTACTATCATTGTGTACACTAATGTAACTGGAAAAGGTCTCTCCCAGAAATATATTTCTGTGTTTGAAAAGAAGTTCAATACCAGTTATTTAAAAATATACAGAACATATCACTGATATCTTTAATTTCTAACTAAAATATCTATACACACACATGTTTGCCAGATCAAATCATAAGTATGAAATCACAAGAATATGAGAAGGTGGCTTACAATTCCCACAAAAATCAATGTATTAAACTGTTAGCATAAGATGTGCTTTATAGTAGTGTATTAGGTTAGAAATTCACCTACAGCTGCAAATTTCTGTCAACTTTCAACCCTTATTATATTCAGACAGCCTACTGACAAGGAAAATCAGGCAGCACACATTTATATATTATGTGACATTCTAAAGAATCCACGACTACTTTTAAAACAATTTAACATCTCATTGCATATCAATGATGTTCAAAAAGAAAAGTAATACACGCATTATTGTTAAGTGAATCCTAAACCTTGCACGTTATAGGTACAATAAATCATTCTTACCCAAAATTCTGAGGCAAAGTCAGCATTTCTCCCAGCATCAAAGTTTCCGCTCCCTTTACAGTAGAAGGATCATCTTTCATGAGCTGGTCAAACAGATTACCTGTAGAAATATCAAATTGCTAGTATCCAGACATTTGCTAAGTCTAAAAGTTTGTAACAAGTTTGCAACATCATTACCAAGCTTTCAAAACTATAGGTCAAGAGTTGCAGAGTGCACCTTGGTATCTTCCTATAGCCATACCAAACATAAAATATGTTGCTGTTTCAGACAACCATCTAGGGAAGTCCTAAAACTTCTCTGACATTTAAGTCTGATTTGCTCATATTGTTTAAACATGGTACCACACACATAACAGTCAGTAGAAAAGATATACCTGGCAAATCTCTTTCTTCACAAGTCACTGGAACATTAGTGAATAAGGTAGGTTTGGTTAGCCTCATCACTGCAATAAAAATCAGAAAATAAACCGTACGTAAATTAAAAAAGGTATTTCTTTGGGGTTTTTTTAAGTATGATTTTGTTTAGCTCTCTTTCCACCAAAAAGCCCCACAACCATCAGATCTCAACCTGAAAAAGTATAACACCTTTTGGGTCACCTGCCCTTTCTCAATATAACAAAATTTCTGCCACTCCGAGATCCCCGTGCAACGATGACACCATTGCTCCATTCTGCTTTACAGGCTTCAGGAAAGGTGTACTAGCTGGGTTTTGTTGTTGTTTTGGTTTTTTTTTTGTTTTGTTTTGTTTTTGTTGTTGTTTTTTTTTTTGTGTTTTGGTTTGTGGTTTGGTTTTGTTTTGTTTTGTTTTTTTTTTTTGTGGATTCTTCTAGGCTAAGTGCCTGTTCCATGATCCTGGTTGCTCTAGGATGGGACATGCCAACTAGTATCAACCCTTGCAAACGCCACCAGGCTATGAAGAACCACACAACCACACTTACACTCTCATCTCCAACTTAAATGCAAGATCAAGTTACAAGTCCAAAAGCTTACATTATTTATACAACTGTTTCTTCTTTAATCACAAACTTTGAACTCAAACCAAACCAGCAAAAACATCACAAAAAACTCAAGCACACACGAACCCCCTACTTTACTGCTACTGACAAAATGAAAGCCATTGAGGTCTTGCTACTAAAAAAATTGTACTTCAACAAAGTGGTATTTTCAAAGGCTACTTTAACTCAGAATGCTCAAAATTAACTTTTATTTGCATTACAGATTTAAAATGTTGCTTCTTGAAAGAATTCCTTCCTATTCATATCACCCAACGGCCCTAATCTTGCATATAGCTTCTCATGAAAGCACTCACATGGAACAAAAGTTGACCATTTATAACCTTAAGTGTTGATTTGAATAGGTAGAAATTACCAATTTGTTTTCTTGGAAACTTAAACATAACATAATATCATTTCTGAAGACCAGAACTGAAAAATAAAATAAAAGGATTTCTCTGGACTGCAAGAATGATGAATCAACATCCTTGCATTGACATGTGTATTGTGCTTTTATGTTTATCATAGTTTAGTACATCTTGAATGTCTGGTCAGCATTCACTATTTCCAGTTTTATAAAATATTAAGTTATTTCAATATACATTTGGGTGTAGTGGGCTGTATTAATTCAGAAGAACTTAAAATACCATACAGCAGACTTATGAAAGTTAGCACCGACATATACTAAACTCAGTTTTCACATTCTATAAAAAAGGTAATACATTCTTTTTGTTATTGTGAAAAGCTGAGAAACATGACCTCTGAATACTTAGAGCCACGAGTTAAATAAAAAGCCCTCAAATATATAAAACAGAATAAATGAAGAACCAGATTAAAAACTGAAAAAGAAAAAAAAAAAGCAAATATTGATTAATACATGCATGCGAACTAAGCATTTCTGGAATATTTTAAAACTAAAGTCTGGATTTCAGCTTGGACATTGGTGCTACCCAAGACTGTAATAATTCTGCAAAGAAGCCACATGTGGTGTTCACTGGTTACAAGACAGTTACCCAGCCAAGGTCCTCACAGCTAGCTATGAATGTATCAGTATGCACATGAATGCCAACCTAAAGCAGCAGAAAGCTGACAGCTGCCACTGAGCAGTGACATCAGTCTCTTTCTGATTAGCAAGATGTTTGTGAATCTCTTTTGTTGGTACATTAAATATAGTGGGACTGCACTATCAGCAATTACCTAATTTTATTCAAATCCACGGTGAGCCTGTGTAACCTACTACTTGCTGTTTGTTTCTAAAGAACAGCTACAGATCAAGTTTAGTTGTGTTTAGGATAATAAATAAATAAATAGATCATGGAATGAAGTGAAAAAAAATAAAGATATACATATTATCATATTAAATAGGATTAGTAAAACAATATTAGAGAATATTGTGTCTTTGCAGGACAACCTTTCATCTTTTTTCTCCTAGGTGATAATATTAAATGTCACAAACATCCCAAATGTCAATATAAGACTGCCCTAACCTTCAAAGTCTAGAAGTACATGTCAATGACCCAAACTGAGCAATATCCTTAACTTTAAACTACAAAAAGATATTTAAACCCTACAATTAATTACTCCAACACAAGTTCGTCATCAAAAGAAAAAAATTAAGAGTATGAGGTGATTTTATTTAGTTTTTACACAGAAGGATTTCTGTTATGTTTATGTGCACTTCTGTGTAATCAGTGTTAATGATAACCTAACAATCTATAAATACCATTCACTCATTTTCCCCCTTTTCCAGATGACACAGACGTTGACCTCCAGCTACAGCAAAATTATCTGGAGTTAGCAATAAACATATTACCCTTGCAGTCATATCAATCCCAGTTTAACTGAGCCTCCAGAGACTGAATTGAGCAGGGACAGCATGACATTGAAACACTATTTTTTCAGGTGACAAAAAATCATGCTGAACTCAGCCTCGTATTGCCATAAGAACAACTCAAATCCTCAGAGACCTTTACCTTCCATAATGACAAGAGGTTTACAGACAGAAGTCTGATTCTTTGATTCCCTGACTTGTAGCTAGAAGTTAGCGCTTTCTTGTTCCACAATATAATTAGAGAAAAAAGACCAGAAACATCAGGGGTAAAAAAAAACAAAACCAAAAATCTTACTGCCAAAGTCATAAGCCAGCAAATGCTGTTTCCAGCACAGAAGTCCCACTGAAGCTTTCATTAATATCTCTGGGGAAGTATGGATAACGTTACCAGGACAGCGTATACATGCAACAGAAAGTTTGTATTTCATATGAAGGCCATACCATTATTAAAAAAAAACCACCCACATGCACTTTTCAGGAAATACTCAGATCTTTAAAGTCTCAGTGAGAAAAGTAATTACAGATCCTTATGGCCATTATAACAACTCAAAAATATTTTTCCTTTTTCTAATTTCAAAGAAGCACAGTGAGGATGTACTCTGCTCAATTGAAAGCACAAGTTTTATTATGTGACACAGCTTGCTATAATAGTCTAGAATTCTTTTTTTTTTGTTAGACCACAGCAGAGAAGAGACACAAAGCGCAGTACTAAGCCAAAGAGAAACTTGTTAATCTTAAGAGAACCATTCATAAGTCTCCTTGTATAACAAAGTTAGATAAATCTACTATTGCAACTAAGCTGCACCAAATGTTAGTTTTCTGCTCATTAATTCATCAGTTGTTCTAAATTAGTATATTCTAAGCTGCTTAAGAACTGACATTTTATTATTAAAATCTATCTTAAAATTACAAACTAAATATAATTCCAAATTTATGTACAAGCAAATTCATTTTATCAGTAAGGCTTAGCTTTTCCCTAAGAATATTTCTAACATATTCACAGTACACTATATCACAGAAAATCCATATCTCTCCCACAGATCTCTGGATAGTAGCATTGCAAGATGGCAATTCATTCTGCTTGATGAGTCTATTTAATTTTATCCAGATGTCCTCCAAATTCTGATTATTACAAACAGACTGTTCAATTGTCCACTTTGCTCTATAAAATGGATGCAGTTTTAGCCTTTCCAAATTCTTTTGCAGTTCTTGAGATAAAGGAAGAATCTTTTCTTTAAGCTTAGGGCTAGGGAGAGAGACACTCCAAGACCTTTTCAATTTTTGTTTTCCATTAGGTGGTGGTTCTCCTTGATTCTCCAAGTTAATTGGTCTGTGAACAGTCTGTGCTTGGATTAAAGTCTGTCCATGTTTCACATTGGCCTGAAACTCAGGGAGATTTTTTGTGCAGTCATAATCAGGAGATCCTGTAACGCATTCAGAAGGTGCAGAAAGTTGTTTCAATTCTTCCACTTCCTCACAAGAAATAACAGGTGGCCACTTTTTCGGTTTGAGTGGAAGTCTGTATAAATCATTCGGAAACCAGGGTGTAAATCTTGGTGACTGACGAGTGGGAAAATCCTCCACTGCAGCTTCTGCAAACTTCCGCAGTTTTATTAGATCTCTCTTAGGCAGTCGATAATGCAAGACCATTTCCATGCTTGGGCAGTAGGAATCTGGCTACTCTTAAGAAAAGGATCCGTCTCTTCATTAGGATTTTCAAATCTAGACCAAAACATCTTATTTACAAGAATTTCCTTGCCCCATTCTGCAAAGATCAGTGGAAAACAGGACCTAAAGCAGAATTATCATAAAAAAATAAAACACTACCATGTTAATAAAAACATTGTTAGGATATTTTATTTAAAAGCAGCATATAGGAAAAAATAAGCAAGATATAAATAAGAACATTCTACTTTATCCAGGCTGAACATTAGCTACCATATTCCATGAGGACAAGTGTGAATCAGTACAGGGAGCATTGTCTGTACGCACACAGCTCACTCAACAGTGCCCCTCCCGAGATTCTTTACTGTCACCATCTCATATTTGCCACCTCTCTATCATTATTCTTACTATATTGTTGGGGTACGTATTAAAAAAACTTACAATTACTACTACCTATTTTCTCAAATTTACCAGACAAATATATATATATATATATTTAAAAGAGCATTTCTCTCCTACACCTCAACTTTTTAAGCCAGGGCATATAAAGCAACTGGAAAACACGTGTTACAAAAACCCCTCCTGAAATAGTACTGGCCAATATAGCTAGTTTTAAAGTCACAGGTTAAAAGGGAAGTGCTCTAGGCAAATTAAAGCTGTCTGCTTCGGTTTTGAATCAGAACTACACTTTTAATTTTAGTCTCAGAGGTTCTGAGTGATACCTGCAGGCATCCTTTCAGTTCTTAACTGAAGAACCTGATAATTCCTTCATTTATTAGACTTTCAGAATAACTAAGACTCATTAAGTCCTTGGAGACTTCACACTTTCATACAGCACTGCTTTCTTTCACATAAAGATTATATTAAAGGCAGAAGGGGAGACCTATGAATGTTACTATGAAACACAACACGCACTCTCTTGCTCTCCTTTCCCCCTGTCCCTCACAAGCTCG